CAATACAATCTTAATTGGTCTTGTGGTAACTTTATTTACGTTATAATAAATGAAAATAATACATTTTTCACGTAACAACTAATTTTTTTTTACTGTTTTCTTATATATTTTTAAAATTTTTCACCATTCTTGACTGTACTGTACTTAATTTATGCTGTAGTATTTTTTTTACTTGCTTTGTCCATAAAATTTGTGAATTTTTCAGTGGCAATAAAGCATATTCTGATTTGATTTGATAATTAAGGTAACAATAAAAGTTTAAAATCGTGACCATCAACATCAATACACTTCTGAACTCATCTCTAAGGATTCACTGCCAGCAACTAAGCATCAAATAGCTCATCTGTAAGCTTTTCTAATACGCTCTTTCATATTTTCTAGGGCGGTGGAAACATTTCGCTATACACATTCTTTCAGAGCGTTTCATAAAAAAGTCTATGCACATTAGATCCGGCGACTTAGCAGGCCAGAAAACTGAATCACTTATTCCAGTCTAGCGTGTTGCCTAGTCCCGATCCAAGACTTTACGCAATTCTCATTCCATTCCATGTCTCTGTGGAATACTCAAATCTTCAAACATTACTGTAATTCTGTACCAAAAAAACGCTCCGATTTTTTGTACATTTATAGTTCCAATAAAATACGAACTGACCAATTTGTCCCCAATAATTATGCACGTACCATTTAGCGTCCAGTATATTCTATATTCCAGTAATGCATATAGAGCCTGTTTACTTGTTCATGGTTAGTGAATCTTGACTTTTGTGAGAACAAAACGTGCTGAAAAAGTTTCGATGAGGATGTACTTGGTGGCGATTGGCCAAATGTTTCCCTATTTTTAAAATTGTCCATTAATAACGTGTAAATTCTATTTTGATATACCTAATCCAATGACTGGGAGAAACAAATATAATTTAGTTGCTTCAATTTTTTTACTCATGACTTTATACACGTGTGTAATGGATTTTCTTAAGCTGGCCCCGTAAATTTCACTTAATCACATTATCCTGTTTTGAGTGCTCCACCCCTGGCTGCAAGTCCCCCACCAAAAGCAGCATCCCAAATCAGTTTCCGTCGACGTCGGGAGGGCGTCGGCGTCGGAACGCTATGAAAGCGACGCTTCCGTTTTATCTGTGCAACTTGAACGAAAGAAAAAACAACAGATAAGTAATCTTTACTGCCTTTTAAAGTTTTGCATGTTTTGAAAAGAATACTAGCATTTATTTTAATATGCTTGATTTGATTGCTTGGGATATTTAATATTTACTACTTGATATCAATTAAACCCGGGCATCGTGGGCGGTTGAGGTACAGAAAGTATTGAGAAATGTGGGCGTAAACTTTGCTTTGTCTGATATGTGCAGCTTTTATATATTTTTCGCTTTTTCAGTTGATTTCTATCGTTTGAGCAGACTATTCTGTGCTTTTACTGTTTAAACTGTTGTATATTGATGTTAAGATCAAACACATAGAAACATTTTCACATAGGTAGTCAATGCATTGTTTCTAAACCCCAGCTGGTTTTGCGAATTTTAAACTGCTTAATTTAAATCAACCAGCTGAATTTATTTACTTCTTTGTTAATATTTGGAGTTGTACTAAGTTGGCACTGAATATTATCAGTGTTTTGTAAAAAAGCAAGTTGCCTGACTTATTTCAATTGATATATTTTGAATTAGTAATGTGAAAATATGAGCAACTGAATATGAATGGGCGAAAATTAAAATTTTTATTACCAAGCTAGAAAATTTGCAATTTAACGGTATCTGTTTTGCATGTATTCCTGCCAACTAATATCTACCTAGGTACGTATCAATTATTAATCCACACAGGTAAATTCATAAAATTTCATGTTTTGTGGACGGCGTTCACAGATGATTTACCCAAAATCTAAAGTAAAAAATTAGGACTTTGGTGAAATTATGCATATTTTACATTGTATATTCATGGTTGTCCACGGGCAGAATTACGTCCGTTGTAAAAAAATTATAAAAAAGTAACTTGCAATAAGCATCAAATTTTAAATATTAAACAAGCAAATGAACATCTGCGTATAACAAAATTATTTATTATTTAGATTTGTAATGTATTTGTATTATATTATTCAATTGTATTTACTAACTACGGAAAAAGTTGAGCAAGTTGCTTTATTCAGAATATAATTTACAGCAAATTATACATAAAACTGTAAAATCCTGCAGAGACCAACACAGTTATATATACGCAGGTCCAGTTGCAAGAAAGAAACCTTAACAAGAATATAACAATTTAGAAAGATTCTTATACACTAACCCTAAACTAACACTAAAAGTAAAGTCTTCTTGATTAAGATGTCAAGAAGCATTTCTTATTCTATTATATTAGATATGAAAGTAAATTATTAACAGTGAACGCAGTCAGATTTTATCCAATCTTTCAACAAACTGACATGTGATCTTTTATCCAGACACAATACTTTGTATTAATTTAGCAAGTTATTGAAAGTCTGAATTGTCCTTTTGTCCGAATTCTTATCACTTCCTCCTTTGTAATTTTTTGGAACAATCAGGTACTGCGAGTAACACTAGCAGGGGTGAGATAATAATTTTTCGGAGAACTATAGTGGTAGTTCAGCGCTTCAAAAGTATATAACTGTTCTAAATTTTTAGGATTGTCCTTTACAAGGTTATTTTTATTCACAATTATAAAGTTTTGCAATCGATTGGTGTTATTTTTAACATTAAGGGATAATTGGCTTGATACCAACCACCCATCAATAATTTTTAAATAAGCATTAATTTTTGATTCAGCTTCACTCCAAGTTTCACCAGTAGCAATCACCGCAGTATCATCTGCATAAGATAAAATTGATTTACATATGGAAATCTTCTAGATATCATTTATATAAAGAATGAAAAGCAACGGTCCCAAAACTGAACCTTGTAGAGCACCAGTTGTGAAGATAATATAATACGAACTTTGAATTGATTTTGAGAACAAACTTAAAATTTCAAAAAGTTAAAAATTCTTTCAATTCAATTTTCTTCTGTATTTTAGAAATGACAATTAAAAACTCTAACTAAATAATAAATTTTTAGTATCAATTTGGACTCGTAAGTACAACTTTCTAAAGTTTACCATTACCTAATTTTTAGAGTCCTTAACACTTAACCGGGATTTTGAATACCTATATGCATGCAGAATTGTTTTTCTTGCTTTAAATTTTAATTAAACATTACATTTTTCTTTGGCAATGAAACATAGTTTTTCTGATTTGATTTCAATCAATTTTTGAAAACTAATGTCAAATACAGAACCATCGGCTAGAAGAAGACTTATCTATATCTAAACTGTTTATTACTTTAAACCAAGAAAATCAAATTTATGGATGTCTTAAGACTATTTTAAGTACAACGCGTAGAATTAAAATTTGCAACATTTTTCAAAAGGTAGTTATTTCGAAAGAATTTGGAACGCTAAGAACACATTAATATTATATACATACCTACATAACTGTCAGCTTTCGTTTAGTATAACTGCAAAAATTTCTGACCAAACAGCCACAAACATTATGTTGAAAAAAATGAAAAAAACCGACAATTATTGTCCATCTCGTTGATATAATAACGTGGTATTTAACTACATCATTACTTTCTGTTATGTTTTAAAATAATAAATTGAACCGAAAGGGGTTCTAAAGCTTTCACCGTCGATACCAAAAAAAAATGAGGCAAAAAAAAGAAATGGTAATAAATTGGTCCCGTCCAAAAGTCAGTCGATCAAAGGAAAAGCGACAGACAGAAATATGAACGGAGTATCACTGTGGCAGCAGATGTCTGAGGCCAGAGTTCATACAGGCATCGATATTTTTTTAAGGTTGAGTCAATGTTAAAGTCCATGCACATGTAGGTACTGGTAAAAAAATCATAAAACATCCGGATTTTCTTGTCTGAATGCTGAATGTCTGAAGCTTTAGCACATTCGTGATCTACCCTGTAGATCCGGGTTTTTGCAGCTTAAGTATCAGAAGCTCGTCTCTACAGGTATCTTACGGATGGGAAATCGCTCGTCATAGCGACGAGAACCCGATGGCATTTTAACACCGCGAACATAAACGCGCTTAACTGAGTTCTGTAATAATTTTTTTCAATTTCCGTTTTCAACTACAGCATTAGATCTTATTGGATACTTGGAACATTTAAGAAGGGAAATAATGGCAGCCCACGTTTCAATTTCGAGATGGTTTCTGCGTGCGTGCCGCACTCAAGATAACAAGACGATGCGACCGTTATCTTTGTATTGAGATGCCCAGCTGCCGCCAGTATTTATTTACTTATCTTAAGGTGGCAAATAAAATGCTGGAAGCACAGTAAAATGTATCTCCAGATATTAAATTCTTCCATTTATTTGATTTTTTATTTACAAACATGGTGGATCAGATATGACAGAACAGTTATTGCAAATGAGCTGTTAGTTTAATACCAGTACTATCGAGAATATCTACTCTTTTATGAAAATGTGTCCCATGGGCGAAAGGAACATATAATTGTTGCATATTTATATATAAAACAAATTGCTACTACCTATTATTTATTTCTGCCAAATTCATACGTGGTAGGCGCAGCAAGGTTTTTTCTTCAAAATAGAAAATTATTTTCATCATTTGTCACAAAAATTCTGAAACTTTTTCAAATTCAAGCCGAAGATGCAATGGAACCTAGTAATCGGGCAATAGTTATTTTTAAAATGAAGAAATTCATTTAATTCAGTCCTTTCAAGCTGCAAGCCTTCAAGTAGGCTTCCTAAAGATAGGTTTTAACTGGCCAACATTAAATAGCGAATTCTACCCCGATTTGGCATTAAGTAGTGACTCTACCTTAGAATATTTTTTTCAATCTTTATTTTCATGCTAACAACGTTATTGGCGATAAAAAATAGATCATAGTTCAAAAATTATTTGTTTACCCATATTTGATATGAGCATTTACTTTACGTAGATTTCTTCGCAAGTCATAAGCAACATGTCTGATCATGCTGTATGGTATAGGTAATCAATACTAGGTCACAATTTTTCATATTTTTCTGTAGCTCCGGTATATATGTACCTATATGTATTTTCCAGATAACTTGCCTAACTTATAACCTTTATATGACAGAAATAAACATCATATGCAATCAATGTTGAGTTAACTAATTGGCTTAAGTGGTTTTAAATGTTATGTAAATATTTGAGTGCTTTTACTACTTTTACCTATAAGTTGCGCTCATAAAAATATTGAAATTGCTTATCTTTAAGCTGGTCTTTTATTCATAAAATGAGTGCGTTACAAAACGTATTACACTTTGGCATTTTATGCGCGGCATTGGAAAATACTCTTGGAAAACCTGATGATTCTAAATTACTGCAAAGACCATTGAGGTAACCTATTCATACCTATTTTAAGTTGGAGTAGCAGGCCACGTGTAAATAGTAGATTTTTTGAACAAAATAGATTTTTGACTAAAAATATGCATGAAATGGAAACATGATTGAATTGATTCTTAATTATCAATTAAAAAAATATTAAGCAATTTAAATTGAAATTAGCAAGCACATTTGCATTGTGGGATAATTCACAAACCGCACCTTATTTGGGGTATTTGAGCAGCAGAAAAAAAATTACTGTCCTTCGATTTCTTCGATATATCTAGTTAACTGCATCTTTGCAGTTTTGCGTCTGTAAGAAAGAATCAAACAAAGTTTGTCCTTCCTAAACTAATGTTATAAATGAAATGAAAAATTATAAAGAACCAAAAATTTAAACTAAAATGTATATGATTTATAAATATCTATAGCTTCTTTATAGTTCCCAAATCCACTCTCCTTAATATTTCTTTGTTTTGTTATCATCTATTCGCTATTGCAGAGTTGCTGTCAATATCATTCCTCCATTTACTATTCTGAAGAACTATGCTCCAACTAGAACGAAATATCAGCGTGTTACCAGAAGCCAGATTACTGGGTATGAACTGGAAACTTTCGATATCCTTTTGAAGTCAGAAAACATTAAAGTAAGTTGCAAGCTGAATTATTGACTAGATTTACTATAATTAATGAATACTTGGTTTATTATTTTCCAGCCGAAGTATTACGCTAGAGTCGCCAACCAGGATATGTACTATGGGACGATTTTATCCAATGGCACCACAACTGGAATGTTTCATGATTTGCAATCAGGCCAATTTGATGCTATGATCGGCTACGTAAAAGACATCAAATTTCTCAAGAAGTATTTTGATGTAACAAGCAATTGGTACTTTGACCAGTTGCTTTTCTGCATGCCAAAGGTAAGAAGAAAATCCGTGAAACAACATCGATCACTTGCTTAAACGAATACACATTTATAAAGAAGTATACGAACTACCAGTGGAGGATTATATGGAACCTGATAAGTCCAGTGCTCCCTTTAATATTATTTGTATGGATAGTTGAACAAGTGATCGTTTATTGGTTGCTTCAAAGAAAATTGTCCACCTTGGCAAACGTTTTCCTTGACATTACCAAACTGTTAACAGGTAGCTAGTATAAACAGATGCTTATGCTGCAAACATTGATAAACATTTTTTTAGGCAAAGCTTTGGAGACTTCGGGCGGGCGAAGAACCAGAAAGCGCTACCCTAGACTAGCAGCGTTGCTTTGGATAGTTTTTCAGGCATTTTTCACGGCAATTTTTCAGTCCGTATGGACTTTGCATCTATCAAATCCAAAAACTGGATACACTCTAGTTCCCACCAGCATTGACTATCTTCTTGAAAACAACCTCAAATTGTTTTACAACCCGTATGACAGAAAGTATTTTTCAAACGAACGCTTTCAAGTGCTGAATAATAGTGAACATTGCTTTGGATTTGAAGAATGTATCGAAGCAGTTAATAGTGAGCCTACATCGTATACCATTTTGTCAACTGCTCTAATTCATTATAAATTTGCCGATCCTCAATCTCCTGAATTTCATAAAGATTGGAGGTGTTTTTCCGATGGGCAAATCAAAAGTGGTAACTTCTTCGTGTTTCAGAAAAACAATTCTTTAACAAAAATACTGGGTAACAAATTATTATGGCTTGCCAGTCAGGGCATTAATTTGTCTCAAGTCAATAAATTTATTAAACCTCAAATCGACTGTCCAAAAACAATTATTGGCAGTGCTCTGGGTATGAAGAACATGAGGCCAACTTTATATGTTCTGTGGGCGGGACATATTTTGGCTGTCTGCTGTTTTCTCATTGAATGTGTAGTTTATCGAATTAAGCGAAAGTAAAAGTTTTACTTTACTTTTTACTTTTACTTTACTTTAATTATAACTCAATTTTGGACATAGGTATGATAATGGAATTTAAGAAATTTGAAATTTTTATTCCTCGCTTGCTCAAATGCTACACGTCACATTAAACACCAATTGTTACTTTTTCAATTGCACAATTTGACTTACTCGTCGGATGTTCGTTTTTATACTGTAGAAAGTGATTCAAATTATTCTCACGGTTTCAATTTAGCTCTTTGTCTACATACACCTATGGATAATGTATTGTAAAAGACAACACAATTGCAGTGAGTTTCTATCAAGTTGATAGGCTTCCTTGAATTGAGTAAATAGTAACATTTATAGCAATTTTAATATTGAAGCCCAAAGTCTGCTTTAAATAATCTGCTAATAAAAAAATATCAGTAATTCACGTTTACTAATGAGTCAGCTCAATTTGCATTAAACAACGGGGATATTGAATTAATACTTTCATACTATTATAGCTTCCTTAAACAGATGTTAAGATTTACTGACATTTGAGGGCCTTCCAATATGATTTAGTAATATTATTAGGCACCAGGATCCAGGCAGCACCCCTAGATGAATGACCCCAATTTTGAATCACCCTGTATAATATATCAATATTACTGTGTAAATAAAAAATTCATGCAATATATTTGCAAGTTATTTGCTATTAGGCACAACGTTGAAACTGGCAAGTGGAAAAATTATTTAATACATCAAATGAAAAAATTCATTAGGGGTCCTTTCTAATGGTCCCCAATACGGTAAGCATTGTGGTTCAGGATAATTACTGAACTCAATTCAGCAAAATAGTGTCCGAAAGTAGCATAAAGTTCACATGTGTTCAAATGCAGCTGAAACCCGCCAAGATGCCACGCAGCAAAGAGATATGCTGCAACTAACGTATCTATTACTGAATGTGTGATCAATGAGCATAAATAAATACGGAGACGACGTGTTATAATTATACCATAACCTATAAAACTTATTTATTTAATTCTGTTTTCATTTAATTGTTTGTTCTGTGAATAAATCTGTTAAATATTTCAAAAATCTTTTTCAAGAACTTTAATCGAACTATATTGACATTTTCTGTGCCTTGTCTCAACTTCTTAGAAATAAACTTGAAAATTAGACACGGAATTGCATTTCAAGTGCTGCAAGTATAAAATGAAGCTTGTTAAATGAACAAAAAATTGATTGGAGTTTGATTTTAAAAACCTCTACATTTTATATGTAGGTATACAATTTTGATTTTTTCATTTGATTTAAGATGTTTCGCTTTTCCACGTGCCTGATGTTATTAAATAATAATTGATAAGAACGCTGAAAAATGGAATTTACTAGCAAGCAGTATTACATGTATCTTGAGTTGCTGCAAAATTTAAAATTATAAATTTTTGAGGCCTGTAACTGAGGTTTTATGAAAACGTGTGCTGGTAACTCTAAAGATAAAACCGTTTTCATTGAATCATCAAATCTCGTTTTTAAAACGACTTTGTTGTATTTGCGTTCGTTTTTTTGCAAGAACAGTATGATACTGGTGGTAATATTCTGCAATTTCATTTATAGACATTTATTTCCTACCTTATGATCTTCAACCTTTTTGATATAGGTAGTTATTGTTTAAAAACGAAAACAAATAATTATAAAAATTCGAAAAAAAATATATTAATGCTCAATGGCAGACATTATGAATCATAAAGACGATGGTCCAATGTCTATTTTCAAAGTGTACATATAAGAGAAGCACGTTTTTCTTTACAAGCCTGTTGTGGCTCTCCTAATATCAACCATTAAACCAATATTATCTTAATGGGATTTCAATCAGTTTCCCTAAGAAAATATGGAAAATGTGTGGAAGCTAGATGCTCGACGGCTTTTTTTTTCGGTGGGGTTTGGGAAATGCTCTTTTATGCACTCCCAGAGCTGGTGACTACCCAGCAGCTCCAGCTAAGCTGTTTATGCCACTAAAACCCTTTCCTCACTACCGAAGTGGTGTTTGGCCTTGCACCGCGGTCATTTCTGTCCTATTGTGCCCTCGTAATTTTACTCCGTCATTATCCCGGTATATTCAATGAATTCCAGAAGAATCTTGAGGGGAGTTAGCATAATCTGGTCTGGTGGAGTTTCATCCCCTCCCAGGAGTCTTCGTCTACCTGTTGCATATGACGTGTAGTGACTCATAACATGCAGAGTAGTTTCGTCCTCTAATTTGCAACCCCTGCAGGTCGGTTGATCGCTCAGTCCCATCCTGAAGAGGCGTTTTTTGCAGGGGGCGTGTCCTGTTAAAAAGGCTACTATCCTCCTTATTTTTTGCCTGCTGAGACCTAGCAGCTCATTTTGACGTACTTGTTCTGGAGGTCCCCCCAACTACTTTGCGGTATGGAGTCGCGGTGTCTCCTCCAAGTACTTTCTGTGTTGTTCCAAAATCCACTGCCCAACTACCACCCTAACTTGGTCATGAGATATACCACAAGCAGGTTCTTGGTTGGTCAGTGGTTTGTCGGTCCCTGCCTTAGCAAGTTCCGCAGCAATCTCGTTTTCTTTGTTCCTGTTCGTACCAGTTGCCCAAGTGAGTTTTACTCTGTTTGACTATACATATTAGTGTATTAGTTGACACGAGTGTAACTCATTCCATCAACTGTTACTTTACTTACTTTTGATTTTTTTATATTTTTTAAACGAGTAATTGGACGTACATTCTCGCTTAAGTGACAATTTATTTTCCGAGTTAATGCATTTTGAATGTGGAAATTCAAACCGCTATAAAATAAACGCCAATAAATCAGATTCGTACCGAGCAAATTCTGATTTGAAAAAAACTGTCTTATTTTATAATTTAGAAGTAATTAGTTTCAATCAGTTTTTGTATAAGACAGGCTTTGTGGGTCAAATTGAATCAGCCGAAAATTCCAGTTACCATAAATCAGACACAACTTGGGAGAGCGTAGAGATTTAGCTCTGTTCTACTAGTTACAATTAGGTTACCTATATGGGAAGTCTTTATGTTATAAATAGACCTAGATCAAATTAATTTAATAAGTTTTTCTCAATTGATGCCAATTACAAATTTAAAGTTCAATCATTGAACTGTCCCTTCTTTCGATTTGCCCTTTAGTTTTTGGTTCTACATTTATTAAGTTCAGTATAAAACGTCCTGCCAATTTTAAATCACCTTATGGAAATATAGCGAATTTCTTTTCACAAGTAAGTAGGAAAACATGCAAAATCACAAGTGAATTTCACATTTAAGGAGATAAAATTACATTTATAAATGTATGTTGTTGAAAATTGATTGATATTATTTAAAAAAAATATCCACAATCAGTTCTAGGCAACCGTAGTTAATAGCACTGGGAGGACAAAAAAGATACAAAATGCAGACTTGAAAGGCCCCTATCTGACACAGAAAACGATATCGTCTTTACTCACCCCTGTCATCCATAAGATTCTCTGATTTTTTAATATGTTTCAGAATCAGGATTTTAATTTATCGGATTAGGATAGCCAAAAACTTTGATCTATTTGTTTTATTACGATCGAAGTTTCATAACCTCATGTAAAATTCCTTTAAACAGATGACTAAATTATTAAACAAATGACTAAAATGGAAACTAGCCCATTTCACAGTAAGACTCTTTATAAAGTCGAATAACCATACACTTGAAAACAAAAAAGGTACATGTTAAATCTTATTTTCCGTGTAGTGCATATTTGCACAATAAAAAAAAATTACGGAAATTTTATACCAGGAGCAGGCATTCACCAGCATGTCATATTTTTTAGGTACCATCTGCCCGCAAACTCAAGTAACAACAATACTTTTTTACGTTAAATGTTGAATTTATAAAACCACTAATATGGCGCATCAATAATATTTCAGTTTTTTCGCAATGTTAGCTTTTTTAATTGTTATGATTGCGAAGTTGTTGCGATATAGATCATGACATCCTAAATCAAATAATAGCTTATAGTAAACCACCCACAAGGTTCTTATTATCGCTCTCAATGAAGTTTTGCTTCCATCTGTGGACTCTGGCCTATTGTAAGATTTTCTATGTCGATGCACTGTCAAAACATTAAATTATTACAAAACTTCTGCGTCCCTAATCGCATCCATCTAAAAATAGATTTGCCCTTACGGCTTGTTCAAACGCATAACGAACAGCTGACATGCGCCAGCGAAGGGCATCCATGCACCAGCTCATAATTTTAGTCAATATTTGTTACTCTTTGTTTGATCGCAAAACTTCTCCTTAAGCTGTTAAGGAATTCAATTTTGTCATGCAAATCTTCTTTTGTATTTTGCATGTCAAAGATGCATTATGCTGAGGAATCTTTAATGAATTTCAGGAAATTCATTCTTTATAAATATAATAAAATTGTAAATAACATCTCTCAAAAATTAAATAAGGCTCTTGAACCTTGAAACAACACCAACTTTTCGGAAGGAAAATTAATAGAAATGTAAATTAAAAGAATAAATCAATAAAATTTTCGGGCCTCGTCAATACAGAATATTTTTGTTATTGTATTTATTTCATTTCAATAGTTTTTGTTGGTAAGAACCAACAAAAACTCTTTTTCACTTTTTGTGAAAAGAAAGTGGTGAACACAGCTAAGCATAGCTCGTTACAATCTTCAATACTGTTTAGCGGCAGATAAGTACCTATACAGGGTGATTCTAAATTTTCGTCATTCCTGTGCAGGTGTTTTAGGACTACAGTAAAAATAGTTTTAAGAAACAATTGTTATTAAAAACTCAGATATCGGCAAAAAAATAGTTCAGAAGGATGGCAACAATGTTTTTCAAGGTAATATGCCTAATTAACATTATGTGAGTACCTGTTCCATCGTGATTATTAAAAACTTCGGCAACCATATATAAACACAAAGGAAGGAAAATAGAAGAGACAATAACAGACTTTGAGGTTGGGATAACGGTGTCAAATTACCGTCCGTGTTGCCACGTTTGTGGGGCAAATGAGTAATATAGCAAAA